AGCTTCGGCCGCGCCTCGAGAGGCGGCTGCAGCGGCTCCAGCGGCGGCCGAGCGGCCGAGCCCGGGCTGGGAGACACGATGCGCCGCGTCCTCCGGCTGCTTCTCGGCTGCTTCCTCACCGAGCTGTGCGCCCGCGTGTGCCGGGCGCAGGAGCGAGCGGGGCACGGGCAGCTGGCACAGCTGGGAGGCGTGCTGGTGCTGGCGGGGGGCAACCGCTCCGGGGCCGCCTCCGGAGAGGCTGGCGAGGGCGCGGGGGTCTCGGACGCGCCCCCGACCCGGGCGCCCACGCCAGACTTCTGCCGGGGCTACTTCGATGTCATGGGCCAGTGGGACCCGCCGTTCAACTGCAGCTCGGGCGACTTCATCTTCTGCTGCGGGACTTGTGGCTTCCGGTTCTGCTGCACGTTTAAGAAGCGGCGACTGAACCAGAGCACCTGCACCAACTACGACACTCCGCTCTGGCTCAACACGGGCAAGCCCCCCGCGCGCAAGGACGACCCCCTGCACGACCCCACCAAGGACAAGACCAACCTGATCGTTTACATCATCTGCGGGGTGGTGGCCGTCATGGTTCTCGTGGGCATCTTCACCAAGCTGGGGCTGGAGAAAGCGCACCGGCCCCAAAGGGAACACATGTCCAGGTGGGCTGCCTCCCCCCTTGCCCTCCCCTGCGGAGGCCGCTTGCTCTCCTCTCCCCTCTCCACCTTCCCCCTGGCAATGGCGCTCCCCGCTACCCCAGCCTCTCCGCTGGAGGATGTCACCCGGGAAGCCAACTTCGGCTCGGAGCGCGGAGAGGGGGCGCTGGGCTCAGCATAGGTGTGGATATATATGAGCCTGTGTGTATGTGTGTGTGTGTGTGGGTCTCTGCCCCCGTCGCCCTCTTGTTGCCCCCTCCCGCAGAGGATTGAAGCAGACTTGAGATACAGTCTGGGAGCCCATGGCCTCGAAGTCTTGGGTTTTGGGGAGGGGTCCACCCCTCGGATTCCAGATACTAGCCTCTAGGTAAACAGGGGCACGCGAGCCCGAAAAGGAAGGGGGGCGTGTGTGAGCCCGCGCGCGCGTGTGTGAGGGAGGGAGGGGAGGAGTGTGTGCCGCCTGCAACTCGTACGGCTCGCGAAAATGAGGCGAGGGAGGCGGAGAGGGAGGGGAGGGCGAGAACAAAAGCCTTGCTTGGAGCTGCCAGGTCCCTGGAATTGGGACTTCGGCTGCCCCCCGCCCCAACCCCCTAGCCCCTTTCTCCTGCCACCACCTCTCCCTGCCGGGGGCAGCGGCCTCCGCTGCGCCCCTTGCCCGGGCGGCGTGGACTCCCAGGGCTGGAGCCCCCTCCCCGCGCACCTTCACCCCCCAGACACCCTGATTCGTCAACTTTCCCGTTTGCCTTCTTCATTATGCAAGTCTCAGCACGAGCAAGTTGCAGCAGATGGGAGAAAGCATTTGGGGATTAATGGAGCTATTTGCCTTTTGCTTTTTTTTTCAAGTGTCTAAATTGATTCGCACAACCCAGTAACTTTGGAGGCGGAGGACGCAGCCGCGGGGAAGCAGCCCCCAGACCCGGGAGAGGCCAGGGGTTGGTGTGACGGCCGGGCGGGCGGGGTTGAAGAGCGACAGGCGGCCTGGATGGTTGGGGCGCAAGCCTTGTCTTTTTCCGTATGGGCACCGGAGTCGCCGTGTCCCCCCCCCCCACTCACACCCCCCTCCACACCTCCGGCGGGGGCCTGTGTGCGCGTGTGTATGCACGCGCTCCATGCGCTGCCTAAAAATTCTGAACAAAGACACCCACCAAAAATAGGCGAAGGAACACCACCACCTCACTAGTAATTATTTTCTATTTATACGCAGAGTATCCGACGATTTTTTTCCAGAGGGGAAGGATTGGGGGGAAGAGATGAGGAAGTTCCTCTCGGTTTGGGTCAGGAGGAAGGTGTGGATGGATGCTGACGGCTTGGCCACGGAAGTAAGCTCTGAGGGGATTCAAGAAATCCTGACCTAGTAAAAGAGTAAAGCGCTGGCCCCGCCCACCTCCTGCACCCCCAAGGTGCCCTGTCACCAACCCCACCGGCCGGGTTTCATTTCCCCGCAGTCGCCGCCTGTCCCTATTGCTTCCCGGGGTCTGTTGTGTTAAGGCGAGGGTGAGATACGGAAGCAGGACTGCGGCAGCGGGTGTCGCCCTGGTAGGGAGAGATTCACCCAGGCATAGGTAGGCTGCCTTGCAGAATCGGGTTAATTCCTCTGCTGAAATCTCCACGGAGCCCTTTTCTGGCAAACCAGCGCTTACAGGAGCCCTCCTCGGTGTTTGGGAGGCGGGGGCGTTGGAGGAGTGGGAGGTGAGCGGTGGGGAGAGGTGCTAACCTTTGGACGCCTGTGGGAGAAAGCGATGCTAGCTTCTGACCCTCTTTGATCTGGCTTTTCCTGTTAAGACTGCACTCCACCAGGTACCTGAGGGCCCAGCAGTGACTCAACTTCCTGGTCCTGCCCCCTTGCAGGGGAAAAAGCATCACCCGGGCTCAGTGGGTTGCCGCTGCCTTCTGCAGGTACCAGGAAAGGCCTGCTTGGAGGGGGGATTTAGGGGTACCCAGTCCTCTGGTAGCAGAGTCTCAACACAGGCTCTCCTTGTAGACATTTTGGGAATTCCAGAATGGAGTGGAAGTGCATACTCCTGAAGACAAAGAATAGTTGGTTTTTACTGGCAGCTTCTAAGGTATGGTTTTCAACTCTGGCTGCTGCTTAGGGTCACCTGGAATGCTTTTTAAAAAATCCAGTTGCCAGGGGCCCCACCCTAGACTATTTAAATCAGAATCTATAGGGTGGGGCTGAGCATCTGTACTTTTGTAAAGCTCTGCAGGCTTTTCAGTGTTCAGCCAATCACTGCTAAGCAAAAGGAAGTAACATTTGCAGAGCCCAGTTCTGGGTGCCTGGCGCTGTACTAGTTGTGTGTGTGTGTGTGTGTGTGGTGTAAACATTCCCTCATTTAGTTCTCACACCTACCCTATGAGACAGGCGCTGTTTGAATTCCCACTTACATACGAGAAAATCTTGGCTCAGGTTGGGTGCTTGCCCAAGGTCATACAGTTAGGAAACTGTGCAGTCCGTTGTCGCCTGGTTTCAGCTGTGTCTGGGCAGACGTTTTCAGATTGAGTGAGCATCAGAATTGGGGGAGCTTCCTAAAATGCACCTTCTTGAGTTCTGTCCACAGAGATTCTGAATTAATAGGTCTGGGATGGGCCCCAGAATTCTGCATTTAACAACCTCCCTGAATGGTTCCTATAAAGTCGTCCACACTTGGAGAAAGACTAGTTTTGGATTTGGGAATATTTTATAGGGTTGGGGATGGATGAATTAATCCAATGGGACTCCTATTTGCATTCTGTTGCTTGTTTTCTCCATGTTTGTAGCCTTTATCTGTATCCCTGTGGTGCTGGCGGCTGCCCCAGGTACCTTCCAGATGCATCATGGGCTGCTTATGCGGTTAATCATTTTGAGTCCCAGCCATAGGTGGGCTCATTAGCTTTTGCCTGTAGCGGGTAAGGGATGCTTGGGTGGGGCTGGCACACCAAGCTTGGCGTCAGAGAGGCTATAAGGTGGCTTCCAGGTGAAATTAACATCCTGGCCGCAGCCTCTTAATTTGTTTTGTGTTGGGCTGTGAGGGTCCCTGAGATGAGGGGTTTGTTCTGTTCATCTGAAAGCACCTTCCCTTCAAAGACTTACAGCACGTTGCTGCTCCCATGTCACAAACTGCTCCTGGTGATCAGTGCTCTTGGGTCTTCCCAGAAGAGGCCTCCATGATGTCAGTTTCCAGGGTCACTGTTCTGAGCACATTGCCTGCTTCCCACTGGGCCGATTAGGACTGAAAACAGGAGAAGGACGGTAGTTCCAGGAGGGCGTGGGGGGCCTTGCATGCGATGTAGGAACTGTCCGGCCGCTCCTGCAGCAGCTGCAGCAGCAGCTGCATTCAACCTCTATTGGAAGAAGTGACTGCAAATGGTGGCCAGCTGTGGTCACCAAACCATGCGGACACGTTTTCTTTGGTCTGCAAAGTATTTATACTTATGTATTCTTATTCTTATTTTTAAGTATTCCTCAATTTTTTATTGCAAAACATTTTAAACATACAAAAACACTTGAAAGAGTAATAAAAATGAACTCCAGGATATCCTTCGTCTAGATCAGGGTTTCTCACCCTCGGCACTGTTGACATTTGGGGCCAGATCATTCTTTGCTGTGGGGGCTGTCCTGTGCGTTGTAGGATGTTTGGCAGCATCCCTGGCCTCTACCCACTAGGTGCCAGTAACACCTACCCCACAACCCAGTCGTGACAGTAAAAAATGTCCTCAGACACAGCCAGATGTCATCCAGGGGCAGAATCACCCCCAGTTGGGAACTATTAATCTAGAATGAACAATTATTAGCGTTTTGTCATATTTGCTTTGTTGCTCTCTCTCTCCCTCTTTCACCATATATTCATTTTTTCCCCCTCCCTCCCTCGCTTCCTTCCTTCCTTCCCCCCTCCCTCCTTCTCTCCCTCCCTCCCACCTTCCCACCCTCCTTCCTTCCTCTCTACCTCCTTCCCTCTCTTTTTTTCTTTTTTCTTTTGGCCGAAGCATTCGAGAATAAGTTGCAAACATAACACTTCGTCCCTAAATACTTCAGCACGGATCTCCTAAGAAAGGACATTCTTCCACATAACACAATTCCAGTATCACACCCAAGAAAATGAACAAAAATTCTATATCATCAAATATCCAATCATATTAAAATTTTCCCCATTATACTAAAAGTGTCTTATAGAGCTTGGTTTTTCAAACCAGGATCCAGTCAAGGCTCATGGCATTTGGCTGTGAAATCTCTTTAGTCTCTATTATATCCGGTGTTTTAAAACCAACTTAGAACCAATCGCCAACGTTTAAAAGCTGAGAGGTTTCACACAGAAGTCCAGATTTTGGATTTCTCTTGAGAAATTGGTGGGTCTGCAACACCAGACCTGCATTTTCACATGGCAACTATTGGTTGTTGCTGAGTGATGACTGCCCTCTTTAGGAAGCTCTCAAGTTCATCTCAGTTGCCATCCTCACCCAATTCATTTAGTTATGTTACTTACCTACAGTCGCTGGAGAGGCACTCAGGCTGATTTTAATAGCATGGGCTTAAGTCAGATGGCCCGAGATTCAATCCTAGCTCAGCCACTTAATAGCTGTGTGACCTTGGGAAATATCACCTCTCTGAGTCTTAGGTACTTGTTTGTAAAACAAGATAATGATGATCTGTATGTCACAGGCTCATGTGAAGATTAACTGAGACCAGTCTTGGAAATCTCTTAGCACAGGGCCTATATATGGTCACTGCTCAGAAACTATTACCCTTTTATCATCATCTTTATTATTGGGCTTTTCTACCCCTTATCTACTGAGGAGGATAATGTTATAGTCTGGAACTTGGTGCCTAGCCCTTGCTCTGCTACATCTATTTAGCTGTGTGACGATGGCCAAGTCTCATAACTTCTCCAGACTTGCATTTAATCTTAGCAGGAGGAGGTGGCAAGTTCAGAATAGGAGAGAAGATCCATGTATGACTACACTAAATGCGTGGCAAATGGTTGGCCTAGGTGATGTTGAAGGACCCTTGCTGGGTTTGCTATTTTGCTGTA